AAATGTAACCCCTTGTCTGGTCAGCATCGTTTCGAAGTCCAAGTGCTGTTGTTGTTGTTGTTGTTGCTGCTGCTGCTGCTGCTGGCGTGACGACGGTGGTGGTGGTAGTGGCTGCCGCTGGATCGAAGATACACGAATAGGCAATAACGGCCGATCCGAAGAGTTTTGTGCCACCTCCCAATCGCTGCCTCCAACCGTGGCAACTGTCGGCCCGGCTCGTGATGGGCCTCGATGTGGCACAGGGGGGGAGTATGCGATTCGGATCTGATCAGGGTGTGATCGCGAAGCTTCTCTCCATCGCAATGATCGGCGCAACTCATTGCCCAAACCGTGCGGGCCATTTGTGCCTCCCCCACTGCCTGGCGAGGTGGCGTCGCCCTGGAGACAGGGCCAAAATCCGATGGCGTTGGTCTGTTTGAGGCTGCAACCGGAGGTCGTTGGCAGCCGGTCGCCGCCGACCAGATCGCCATCCGTCAGCGAGGCTGACGCCTGTAGCCCCGGCTGTGGGACGGCTTTGGTGCTTGTCTTTGCCTCGGCCGCCCCACAGCCGCCGGTGGCCGGCCGCTTCACGGGCCTTAAAGTGGGCGAATTCTCCTCTCCAACCAGCGAGCTCAGGCCCCGTTGCCAATCTGCGCTGACCAGCTGGACTATGTCCATGTCCGACTGGAGCTGAGTGGACGGCCCATTCCAAACTCGGCCATACAGTTCCTTTGATGCTAGGGTCCCGCGCCGGCCGGCTGCCAATCGGAACCCCGGCAAATGGATGAGACCCGAGCTGCCCAGACTGCCGCCGAGCATCACCTCGTCGGGAGCAGACAGGTCCGGGATCTGCACACTCCTCGGGCCAATAGCGGCGCCTGTGAACGATGCGCCCGAAGCCGCTTTCGCCACGTCTCGTCGGCCGGCCGCAGAATAGGCGAGCGTGTGTCGGGTGCATTTAGACTCAGAGCAGGTCTGCTGACTGGGACTCGAATCGGCGTGGCGACAAGAGGCAAGGCCATTCGGAGCCGGTTTTGGCGAGGCCAGGTAGCCGGGCAAGTGGGATGAACTTGAAGAAAAACAGGACAGAGAGGAAGAAGCAAGTGAACAGGAAGGGAATGAAGAGATTGATATTGTGGGCACGGGCTGCGAGGTGGTGATTCCAGTCAGATTGGCCGCCAACATTTTCTGGCAGGATTGAGAATACACTATGGACTGGCTGGGCAGCACTCTAGCAACCCGGCTGTCGTTGGTCTGGCCGCCGGTAGAATTGCCAGTGGTGCCTTCGAGAGTTGTCAAGACCGTAGGCAGGGTCAGCCTAGGAGAAGGCTTGGTTGGCTGGCTGAAAGAGATATAATAATAATAATAATAATAATAATAATAATAATCAATATACAGGCATTATAAGGTGCATTAAATCATATTGGTGTACAGGAATTTTGATAAAGGGAAGTGCAATTTCATGTCTATCCTGCACAACGAGAGTGAAAACGCTTGCCAACATAAGGACGGATGACATTTTTGTCCAGGATGAATTGAAGAAGAGGCGTAATTTTTGCTTCAAATGTCTTTTCGCCATGCATCTCAAAAGACCGTCGTCATCCGAAACGGTCAACAGATTCGGCCTCGTCTTACCCCCTCATTAGCATCTCCAAGGGGATTTTAGCTGTGGATGTGCCGGTTGCAAAGCCCAAATGTTGCCCTTAAGACACATATCCCTGGGATGTGTCACAACAAGGACTCTCGAGTCTATTTCGACTCATAATTCTTTGTGGGGAAATTTGTATCGATAAAAATCGTGTAGCAACTGTCCACCGCTAGTTCATTTGAGGAGTGCTGATGAGATCTAGACCAAGTCGAAACTACAGCAAGGCTATGCGAAATACAAAGGAAACATCAAGTTTGCTCATATCGTTGTGATAAAAGTCAACTACCAGCCCTGCATCACCTTAAAAGATATAGGGTAAGCACATTTCTTACTCAAGATTTACTGGTGATTTCGAAAACATACTAAAAACGAAAGCAACGCTAACATCTTTATGATTAGTGACGGCTGTGCTGGCAGCTCCCAGGATCGTTGAAAAGACACCGCATGATCATAGTTCGAATCCTACTGTGGCCGCTTATAAGACGAAAAGATGAGGTCTAAACCGCAGTCCGTCCTTGATGAGAACGGTCTCGTGAGATGCATAACTGTGAAATTCCATGCAAAAGTAGAGCCTTATCTTGGGTTAATTGGGGTCAGATTCACTACCAATCCGGTCCAAAAACCAATCAATGCTGGTATTTATATAAAATAATTATGCTCCAACAACAGAAAAGGTATGTCTGTTTATAAAAACTACTTTATTTATATTGCCAGTGAGCCTTTCATATAGATGGGCAAAATGGATTAGTAATCTGGCTATGCGTCTAATGAATGGTTTCTGGCTATAAAGATGTAGGCTGTAGCAAGAGAGACGAAAGCCCACCAGTAGGCAATCAGAGATGAAGAAAAGACCCTTTAGGGTAATTCAACAGTCACATTTTAAAGGCAATCCTCCTTCGATTTCCACAGAAGCCAATATACCAATCCTTTGCAGCCAAATATCCATCAAAATGACATGAAATAATAAAGGAATTCTCCAAAACCCAGATTTTCTTAATATTATTCGTAAAGGCAAAGATGTACCAGAAATTTTTCGACCTTGCCTTCCCAACTTGGTCGTATTGTCAGGGCGACCTAGAGGCAAGCACCTTGTCCGGAGTATGCATGGTAATTTCCACAGTCGGACATTCCCAGACGTTTCGCCAGCATCATAGTCGGCATCGAAAATGTACCAAGTCATGCATACTATGGACTCCGGAAAAGGTGAGTTCTGCTAAGTCGCCTTGACAATACGACCAAGTAGCGAAAACAAGGTCAAACAACTTATATACAAGGAAAGGGGACCACGACCATACTATAGACCACACGATCACG